TTGAAAACATCTAGTTTAACCAGTTATTAGTTGCAATTTGTTTTAAGAGAAATTAAAATATTCCATGTCTACTGAAATTGGCTTTCTAATTTCAAAATGTATTCCATTCCTTATATAAATTAGTGACAGCAAGATTTTGTGAAGGTAAGGTACAGTATATTTTGTATATTCATATATATTGACTTGAAAATTTAGATGAATCTTAAAACTTGACAAAAGTTGTAAGAAAATTCAAGTGATTAAATTTTGATATTTTTTATATAATTTGATCATTATTGATATTTGTTCTGAATAAATTAAATATGATGTTCTTGCTTGATTTTATGAATGATTCAAAACTAATTTATTAATTTTGTTTTAAGTATAAAGCAAATACTTCAATTATAGCAAATTGTAAACAGTTATGTGAAATAAAGTGAAACTAAAAAGCTATGTAATTGTTTAGAGTGAATATATCAGATAATAAGTTTGAAAATTGTTATTTAAAAGTTCTCAAAACTGTTTAGACTTTATCAGGTATTTTTAATTCATCTGATGCATTACCCACTTGTGAAATATTAAAGAACGAATCTACTAAATGTTAAAATGAAACCAACAAAAATGAGAATATTAATTTCAATTATATGTAGGATAATGATAACCAATCTCAGAATTTAAAATAGTATTTAGTTTATTTTTAGATATATACATTGAGAAGCACTTATGTCCAAGATTTATTAAAGACTTTTCATTCATGATTTTTTTAATTCAGAACACATGATTGCTTATTTACAATGGTAAATGATACTTTATATGTAAAAGTTGTTATGCACTTACTATAAATCGACTAAAAGTTTGTATAATGAAAAATAAAACAATATAATTTAAATTTATTCATGTATTCATTTGAATAATTAATATAATTAGAATTATATAAATGAATTCTAATTATTTCAAAAGGAAAATATTAACAGGTGAAATATCCTTCATGATAGTCTTTAACAGAAATTCTATTATTTATTTAAAGGGAAAAATTTTCATAATGAGACAAAACCTTTGCTGAAATTGAAACTATGCTATGATGTAGAAAAGAGTGCATTCAGTTACAGAGCATTAAGATATAAAAAGTGCAATTGTTCTAAAAGAAACTTGCATTTTTTATCAAACATGGCAAAATTGTTTGTTTCTTAAAAACAAATATACTACATCCCTAACCTACAAATGTGAATTGGACTTGGATTTGTAATTTTAAGACAAATATCTAAATAACATTAGCCACTGATCACTTGCACTCAGTAAGGTTAGGAAATGTTTGCCGTTTTTAAAGTTTAGTTCATTGTTTAACAGAATTTAATGGCTTAAACTAAAAATTCAGCATTCTCTGCTCTCAATATGGTAAAACATGAGTTCATTTATATGCTTAATTGAATGCATACATTAAGTAATTTCTAATTTTATTTTACAATACTAAGAGTATATACATCTAATCAAGTACAATAGCTGATTAAAATTTCTATTGATGAAATTATAAAAACTAATGCAGAAAATTTGTAGACTAACACTATTACTTTGGAAAGTATTTATATTTATGGTATTCAAATATTGAATGAAAGAACTAATTAAAAAATAAATCATTTAACAAGACCTGTTTTATTATAAAATGGTTGAAGCCTTATTTGCTCTTATAAGGAAGACTAAAGAACATTAATTTATCATGTATTTTGTAAAAAATATCCATAATTTGGATCAGTTTTAATTTCCAGAAATTGTTTAATTTATGATTTTTGGATTATTAATGTTGCACTAGTCATCTAATGGACAAGATCAATACAAAGTACCAAAACTTACAAGTAGATATAAGTTATTATCAGCAGAATTAAACAATTTTTAAATCAATACATGTATATTTAATTGTATTTCAAAACATTTTTTATACCCATTGACAGTTGTATGTATTTTAGGTTAATTCTCCTAGCATATATTTTCCACATAGAAAATAAAAACTCTTTCTTGTTTTGCACTACCTTTATTTTTAGTTGGATATATATTTTCTATTTCCTGAATTTGACACTAAAATGATGTTGGGTACATTCACATATATTTGTTCTCTGCACCTGAAAATCAAAATTTGTCTCAGACTTACCAGTTCAAAATTAAGAATATTATTAAGTATGATTCACACAAGTGACCAGAATGTTTAATGTTTTCAACAGTCAAAAATATGACTATAGGTGAATGATAGATCTGCAGATCTTACTGCAAATATTAAAAGAAATGTTTGTAACAATTTATTTATGAAAAAGGTTTTTAAATAGAAACAATGATAATTATCTCAAAATATGTCTTTTCCCCCAGAAATAAGAGATTTTGTTCAAAATATATAATACTGATTTGAAAAATAATTAAAAAAAAAATTGTTTCAAATGATCTTGGGGCATTTAGAAAATATATATTGTCTATATGTTGCAAAACAGAGTTTATCATTTCCAAAATAATGAACAAAACAATAAAGTTACTAGTCTGTGTAAATAGTTGGAAAATTAGCATAATTTCCTATATGTATACATGTTGATATTTCTCAAAAGATACCAATCACCTACTGATACAATTTTACCAACTTTATGGTTACCAATGAAAACCTATAAATAATAAATTTGTAGCAATAAAAACTGAAATGTATTTGAGATTAACGGTAACTTGATTAGACAAATTTGACACAAATAACTCAAAATATTGTTCAACCTTTATATTATATCAAAAATAAAATTTAAATGTTGAATGAGTAATATAAGTATGAAATAATATACTAAAAAAAAGTTGCAAGGAAGTTTAAAATCAATTTAAATTCTCTAATGAAATTATTTTGGTATTATATTCAACAGAAAAGTGATGAATGTTTTTTATGAAAATTTGACAAATTAGCATAGAACACATATTTCTCAAATAAAAGTAGCAGTCCTCTAGAACACTCAATGTATATATCCTTTATATCATAAATATAACTAGTTCATGTGTAAATTTGTAGACTCAAAACAAATATAAAAGAAATGGAGATAGATTTCAAAGAAATAGACTTGGAAAAATTATATTCTCATACTATAAAATAAAATTGTAAAATTAGTTACAGGAAATGTATCATTAAATAAAATGTTGGTATTTTTCTAAATTATATATTTAAGGGAATTTTATTGTTGATATTTTCTGAGTCTGTAATAATGACAACAAAAGGTGAAAATAGTTGTTTGGATGAAATTTAGCTCTTATTATCTTCAAAAGGATAGATATTTAAATTATTTTCTAAAATACAAGTAACAGTGTTACAATATTAACTTAATTTTTAACTAACTTAAGTATTCTGAATGTTGAATAAAAAATGTAATCTCATATCAGGTTTCAATTATTTGAGTTGAACAATTAATAAAGTCAATATACTTTGGACAGGCAATGTTGATCTTCATGTGCACCCTTTAAGAACTCAAACTTTTTTGTTTTAAAAATTAAATTTGTCTCATTATTACAGTATCAATTGTAAAACCAAATATGAGATGACAAATATTAAAAATAATGCATTATACCGACTCTTATTCAAAATTACTATTAAAATAGAACCATATTTGGTGTATACTGGAAACTCTTGTTCATTTTCCAATTAATTTTGCAACTAAAGATGAATGATATGTACCAATTCTTTAACCAATTTGCATACTGTAGAATAACTTAAAAGAATGAGAATAGTTTAAAATGTGGGATCCTGAATTCATCCAAATATCCTGTACATTATTTTCCAGTAAAATAAATTGTTATGCTATTGAACTAATTTATATAACTTTCTAATGAAAAGATATAATTACATGTAGCTTATTCATATGTTAATACAATAAGCAATATAATGAAACAAAGTTTATTTTTTTTACATGTTAGTGTGATACTTGACTATTTTATACTTATCAAATCCTTTTGATAATTTAGCAACAGGTTTGGAAAACATTAGATCATGACTTCATAACTTGGACAAATCATTTATGGATAAAAATAGTAATATTTAGTTTTCTAAATGACGAATATGAGTACAGGATTAAAGTAGCTTTAAGCTGTATTTATTCAAACTTAAAGATTCACAAAGATGAGTTTATAAAATAGTCAGTTTTTATCATTGTCAAATTAGAATTTTATTAGATTGTTCCAGGCATTTGTTTAAACTGAAACAACTTATAGATAGTTTTAAAGTATAATAATTTTTCACTAGTTATTACTTATCAATAATTTACACAAAATATTTTTAAAAACTATTTTATTTCTAAAAGATAGGAGTATGAAGAAAATAGTTTTAATTTTTTCTTTTTGTAAAATGAAGAAAAAAAAAATGCCGTCATCCCGATGTCTTTTGATTGGTTGGTTGGTAAGCTTGGCTAGTATGGCGGTCATGTGGTGAGCGCTGTGATTGGCTGAGCCGTCATGAATATTAATGTATATCTGTGCCTGGCTAGATGTATCAAGTATTGGCCAATAGCACCGGCAGCGTATAAACCATTGATTGATCATCCCGCGCTCTCACTTGCCTACAAAGCTACCAGTAGCTTACAACTGTGAACACTGGCAGCAGTCCACAACCAGCCAAGACAAACGTTGCTCACTGACTAGTTGTACCTATACGACATACTACTACTACTACTCCTTTCTTTTTCTTTCTCTTGTTACCTCCACCACCTTTATTATTCTTATTTCTACTACTAAGCTGGCAGCAGCAGCAGCAGCAGCGACGGCTCTAGTCGTAAGTTAAAGAGAGCTAAAGGACAGCAGCCAGCGCAGATTCCCTCTCGTGGAAGTCGGCAGCAGCAGCGACGACCTACGTACACACAGGCTGTGGCTGACTGTGCACACACACCGCCATAGAGACAAGAGCTACACTAACCCACCGACCAACAACAACAGTGAAAACCCGAAAGGGTTAGATACTCAAAGAAGCAACAATAGATAACAAAATAACGACCCAAAGCCAACATAACGGCTGCACGATGAGCATGCAGAAGAGGATTGAACTCGAAAAACGGAATTTGTCACCAAAAGAGGTAAAGTTCTTGATAGTTTTATGTCCCGATTTGTTTGTGTGTATATTCTGAGCAAATTACCATGTATCGTTCTCGCTCTTGTTAGCTTTAGATTTTCTTTATTTTTGTACAATAAGAATTTTGGATTACTCCCTTTAACATCATGTTATACATTATTTGTCATATTTTAATGCATTTTTCTTTAAAGCAGACTGGTTTGTTATTAATGTAATGTTAAGGAAAACGGACACATCTTAAGATTCTCCATGTGCTCTCTTTCCCCCCTTTTTTTTCTTTTCTCGTCCGCCTTGCAACTGCCATTAAACAAGATCCATACAATATTCTTTGTATACATACATATATAACTAGTCTCTATATAAAATATACATATGTGTAGCTAGATTTGCCTATCAGATAATATCCCTCGAATGGACATGTGCCGAGTATCCCTCATTGATAGGCAACAAACAGACCGGCGGTATTGTATCATAATGGAAAAAGTAAGGTTAAATATGGCGCCTTTCAAAAACTTAAAAAGGTTCGTTCTTCTTTTATCTCTGTTTATCGATTCTTCCTATTTTCATTGCCGTCAACAAATCATTTGCTTCACATTTTGAAACTTTTTAAGTTAATTTTTTTATTTCACTTTTTCAAGTATGTTAAAAGAAAACATTTTTCCCATCTACCTTAGAATATAATGGAATTAAATGACAATAAAAATTCTTCGTTTTAATAATTTTGTTATTGGCTGATGTTAATTCTATTTGAAGGCTCATCAAGTTGGTAAAGTTTGATAACAAATATTACTTGTACGCGACTTGTTCTCGTATTGATTTTTCACTGAACTTTTCAAATTTTTTTTTTTTCCTCTATCAACCCATTGAATTTTTTCCTTTTCAATATTATGGTTACTATGTCAATGGAATTTAAACAATACTAATCGAAGCAGATTTGGAAGTTCGGATATAATCAACATTTTAATTTTAGAGCGGTTTCTTGTCTAGATGAAAACTTCAAAATTTTAACTGGAATTTTCTGCCTTTCGACTGGCGCAGTATATTATCTTCAGGTATTTGTGACATCATTTTCGCATGTTATATTTAGTTTTTTTTATCTTAAAAAAAATCTAGTTCGATTGTCAGAAATAGTAGCGTGCGCGTTTAGTGCCGCCATTATTTAGAGTGCTGCGTATGTAAAGCTCAAAACGTTGGAGATGTACGTGTGTGTATTCAAAACTCGTACAGATTTTTGTACGTCTGTTGCATTACTTGAAAAGTAATTGTCATGGAGGTTAGTGTTATTCGATTTGTCGGTGCCTCCGTCCTAAGAGCAATGAGGGTCCGAACAAATTGGTACAGTGTGTAGGGGGTAATCTGGGGGTTTAAGAAAGATGATGACAGAGCGGCGGCGGAGGCGCGCAGAGTGGATTGGAATCAGCAGCAGCAAATGCTTAACTTTCAAAAGACATTTTGATGGCGGCAGGGAATTATGATTTCCTCACTGTTGCTATTCGTTGAGCATTTTTTTCTAGCTTTATATAAGTTAACCGCCATAGATAGTAGACCTTAGTACCTTGTCCAGGTATCTTGCCACCTGTGTGTGGGATGAGGAAGAAAGGACGTCCACTTATAAGGTCGGTCGTTTGTTTGCTGCTGCTATACACCAGCGCGTGCCGCCATGTTGAAAGGGCAGCAACCAAAACACAAACCGAATTTCACGGCCACCGAACAAATGTTCAAAACAAAGCTTTTATTTATTTATTTTTTTATTATAATTTAATGTCAACCTGCCATACGTTGTGCAAAAAATATAACATGACACAAATTACTTCAATGAAAAATAAATGCATCAAAGTCCGATGATGCCACTATATGACCCAATTTAATTGTGTACATCTCTAGTTGCGCGCATCTTTCTAGACACACATGCGCGCTATACTCAGTACATTACTTTCGAAGCAACTAAATAACAAATAAAAACTGAAGGATTAATTCAAGTGCTACAAGTTGTTTAATGATAGACTTAAAACATTTGTATGCATAATACCATTATAGATTTTTCTTTATGAAAGGGATGAAGATCAGTAATTTACCTACTACTGCGCGAGTTGTCTTAATTTTATATTTTTATAGTTTTGTATGATGTCCAGCCTTCGTTGCTCACTTATCATTTACGTTGACACCATTTTTTCTTTTGAGCCGCCATCTTGTAAAAATGCATTTAGTCTCATTAACCAGTTTTATTCGTTTTATTTATTTTTTTTTTTTTTAAATAATAAAATTTATGCGGAAAAGAAGACCAAAAACAACAAAAACAGTTTATGAATATATATTTTCTTTTTTTTCTTTTTTTTTTTTTCTTTCTTTTTTTTTTCTTCAATTTTGTAAAGACGAAGAGAGGTTCATTTTTCTTTCTTTTTTATTTCGCAATTTATTTTGATTTAAAATGCAGACTTACCAGGAGTACTTTTAGGCGTAGATATATTGTAGAACCCTAATAGTTGGAATGACATGCGAGACCGATTGTTTCTCTTGATAGTACCCAAGTGTCCGCCATTGTGGATGCCTCCCGCCGCCGACTAAAATGGGGGATGTCTCGCTGATCTGTTTCTCTCTGCAACAACCGCTTTTTATTTGATTGATAGAAGTCGTACCCATTTTAAATAGATCGAAAGGTACTATATCTAATAATTAAGTAATCTTTTACAGGCAGTCCGTACACCGTTTTCGGCATGTTTCTAGTGCCCTGTATATTTGTCTGCCTCTCACCACCAAGGTCGTACAACTGTGTGCCGTCGTAATGCTCCTTCTTGTTGCCTGCCGCACTCACGTGACCATGCATACATTATGTTAATGACCTCCAACTGCGCGCACTCACGCATCTATCACAAAGTGCTCAACTCAAGACGTCATTCTATATTCTCATAATCACTTTTTTTAACTTTTTAAGCTCGTATGGTTTGATTATTTCTTATTAAAGCCTACATAATTATTTTATTTCTTAAGAAAATACTACTTAATCTAGTTGATTGTTCAGTTCGTCATTAACACCAGAAAAAACTATCGTGTTTTGAAATTAGTTGAATTTTTAACTTATTGATCTTATATATTTGATAAATAGAAGTGTATTGCATTTGTATAAATTTTATGACTGATTATCTTGTTTTTGTTTTTATATGTATATATAAAAATTCTTAACGTCCTTTTTGCCGCCATTCCTTCCTTCTCCCTTTAGAAGGGCGTAATCATACTGGCGCCCTATCAACGTTTAAATTCACTGCTTTCATCCACAGTTGGTTTGACAAGAGGAGTGGGGCAGTATGTTTGTAACGGTGTATCTTTATTTTCCCCAATCATCATAACAATTATTAATATTTGTAATTTAAAGTGATGTAAAGATTTTAATCTGTCCAGTTTTTCACATAGTAAACTTGTATTTTCTTTCCTTTATTAATTATTAAGACCTAATTTCTCTATTGTTATTTCTTATGCATGCTATATAGGTCCGGGAGCTGACCCTTGACAATTGCAGAGCTCATGAGATAGAAGGACTTACAGATGAATATGAAAATCTGGAATTCCTTAGTTTAATCAATGTTGGTCTTATTGGTCTTAAAGGTTTTCCAAAGCTCAAGAGCTTAAGAAAGGTAATGTGCACAATTTTTTTTATTTATTTTTTTTGATTGATTTTAAAGCAATTAAAAAATAGGTGTATCATACTGTTTTTATAAGACAAATCTGTTATATAGAAAAGCTTCAAAGATTAATATGAAACTTGTTTTACTTTTCAGTTGGAATTAAGTGACAATCGCATTTCTGGTGGTTTAGAAAAATTACAAGATTGTACAAAACTCAGACATCTCAATCTCAGTGGCAATAAGATCAAAGATGTTGAAACCTTAAAACCATTGGTAAGTCTTTTTTTTTTTTTTTTTTCTGCACTATAATTTAAAATTATTTTGGACAAACTAAATTATTTAATTTGTTCTGTTTATTTATTTTCAGGCCAACCTTAAAGAGCTGTCCAGTTTGGATTTGTTTAATTGTGAAGTAACACAGTTAGAAGATTACAGAGAAACTTTATTTAAGTTGATTCCTCAGTTACATTATCTTGATGGTTATGACAGAAATAACAAGGAGCAAGAAGATGAGGATGGTAAGATTTTTTTCTTGTTGTTATTTGTAAATGAAGCGCAATCTGAAAATGATTTTATTAAATGGCATATTTTTTATTTCTACTTTTCTCAGCTGAAGTTGAAGATGAGGATGAGGACGAAGATGAGGATGAGGATGAAGATGAAGTAGACGTTGAAGGTAAGATTTTTCCTGGTAGGCTTTTCTCAAAAGTTATGGCTCAAATATGTTCGAGTATATTTGGTCCTATTGTCACCAGATGCGTGAAACATTATATTGAACTTTGTCCAAATTAATTTTTTACTCCTAATGTATTGTAATTAACATTTTCATTTTATTTTAAATTGTAGATGATGAATCAGATGAATTAGATGAAGAAGAGGGGGAAGAAGAAGGTGAAGAAAATGAAGAGAAAGTTTGTCTTGACTATTTGGATAGAGATGATTTAGATGTAAGTAAACTACTGTACAGTTTTTTTTTTTTTCTATCTCTCTCCTCTACATACATTGGTTGATTAAAATGAAATTCAATGTATCTTAAGTCTTGTGCTTAAATTATTGAACCATATCTGAAGCTTTATAAATTAATATTAGTTTATAAGAATATAAAATCTTAAAATTGTAGGTTTCAAAAATCATTTTGCAATTTCATGATGCATTTAAGATTCCTTTTCTTTTTTTTCTTTTTTTTTTTTTCTTTTTTATATTGCTCAATTTTTTTAAATTTTTTTACAGGAAGATAGTGAAGGTGCTGACTTTGAACCAGATGCCGATGAAGAAAATGAAGAAGATGAAGGTTTGTATCATTAATTACTATACCTAATTTTCTATCTATTCTATAAACATCTTTTTGGTTTCACTTAATTTTGCTTCTAATGGAATTAAAAAAAAAAAAAAGTTGTAAGGTAAGGATGCCCCCCCTTTTTTTATAAACCTATGATGTAAATGTCAGATTTCTCTTACTGCTTTTGAATTGATTTTTCAGTAATAATCAAACCTGTGTTATCTGATAATTTCAATTTTCTTTTCAGTGTCATTTGCAGAAGAATCTGAAGGTGATGCTGAAGCTGATGATGGCCAACGAGGGAAGAAGAGGAAGCATGAGGAGGAAGAGGATGAGTAGTCCATCTCCCCTTACCTATCCTCTGCACAAAGACCCTCATAGGTTGAAGTGTAAAGACTGTACAGTGTTGTCATGGAGGGCTACTCCTCCCCAGGAGGGCGGAAGGGCCTGCCACCAACAGATCGTGTGTGTGATGATGCATACCATAGTTCTACTGCAAATAACTTTTAACTTAGGTCATTGTAAACTCCACATAGTGGCAGCCAGCATTTCTTCCACGTGATTTGCCTCCTGTCCATTTCTCTTTGAGTCCAGCCTGTATTTAATGGGCACATTTATACCCCCTGGGGTGGGAGTTATCAGAGGGGAGGGGAAAGGGCTTCTTCTGTCTGCATTATATATCTATCTACCCTTGGCTCTGCTGCTGCTGCTACTTAACTGCCCAACAATGAATCCCCCCCCCCTCCATGCCCAACTAATTTTCTTTTCCTAATGGAGATCCCTTCTATTACTTCTTTCCTAATTACTGCTGCCTCTTTGATGCCCTTCCCCTTTGTTCACTCTCACATCACCTAACATTCATTTAGAAAAACTTGCTATAAATCTATAAATAAAACATTACTGTTCATTTCATAAATCTTTTAGTAAATATGCCGGCGTTGGGAGGGGGCAATTGATGCTTAAACTATAAGCCAGTTTAATGGCAGTAGGTTAATATTTACCTTCACTTTTCCATCTGAGTCCCTTCCTATCTCCTTTTGGGTCTTTCTCTTTTCTCTCTTTTTTTTTTCTTTTTTTTTTTTTTTTTTTTTTTTTTTTTTTTCTCTCTCTCTCCTCAAAATTGTTTTTTACCATGCATTTTTTTTTTTTTTATTCAATCTGCTAACCAAGTGTGTGCATAGAATTAGAGCAGGAGGCCTCTCTACTGCAGTGTGGCTGAGATACATTTATATTTATTGACATTTTGGAAGTTTTCACATGTCCTGTATATTTGCTTTAGAACACTTTTTTTTTTTTTTTTTCTCTTTCCTGCATATTCCTCAATACTATGGACTTCTTCTATTTCTTCATTTTCAAAAATTTGTAGGAGGAATTCATTTTAAATCTCCCCAATGTTCCAGTTTTGAAAGCTGATAAATTTTACAGAGTAAAACTAAATTTAAGATATCTCTAATTTCACTTAAATTTGAATTGATTTACACATTAACTTTTATAACTGGCACAACTTAATGTTAAGTGTTGTGCATCACTTTATTGGATTCAATAATCCTTGCAAGATAAGATATGAACAAATTTTATTAGTGCCTTGCAGACCCTTTCCTCCTCCTCCTCCTCTCCATCTCTCATTTCTTACATCTACTCCAGCCCATCTCTCTCATATTCTCCCTTCCTTTCTCCTTGCACTTATTCTACCATGTGCGGTTATTGCTCAGTCATTGCACAACAGTCAAAGCTTTAGCACATTTGTGAAATGTGCTGCTAAAATCAATGTTGGGGAGGAAAGACCAAACAAAACTTTGTGTTGATGTGCCACTAGATTTCTCAGGATATGTGATTTCTTTACCGTGTGTGCCTAATTCATTTGGAGAAGGTTTGCTAGGGACTCAACTATTCTAATGTTAGTTAGAATCTCCTCCCCCCCTCCTTTCCTTACTCTCCCTTCCTTTTTTTTACCTGCCAATATTCAGTTCTTGGCCAGTCAGTGTTGGGTCAGAATTCATCAATGCTAAGCATTCCAAGACAAAAATGAGCAACAGAAAGCCCAATCCCCCTCTCTTGTCATATCCCACTCCTTTTATTACTCAGGAATATTACTACCCTTACTACTCCTGCAGCCCAGGGGCTGAGACACTAGCCAGGAGCTTATCCACAGAGGTAAGCAGGGGGGTGGAGGGGGGTCTTAAGTATGGATTTTGTTTTAAATAAGTTCACTAGTCCACTCGATTGAGGCCTCTTGCAGCTTTGGAGGTACTGCTTTGGTTTCAGGTCAAATGATCTGAGGTTATTTCATTTTTCCTGGGCTAATATATGCTTCTGTATGGGTTTTTCTTTTTCTTTTTTCTTTTTCCTCACAACTGAACTATTGTAACATATTTTTCTCCATTGTAAAAAGTTCAAAAATCATTTATTTTACTGTTCAGACTGTAACATAAACTATTAAGTTTCATCATTACACCACTACTTTGATCATAAGAAACCCCCATGGACACGAAGTAAACCTATTTGAATGCAGAATCTATCGAATGCCGATTTACCTCTGATTTAATTCTTGAGCGGTAGATATGGGGAGCATGCTTGCTTGTCTTATGTAACAAAAGTGTAACGGGAGTCTAGTACAGTAATTTGTAATTAAACTGTTTGAAAGATAAAATTTAAAAAAAAAAAAAAAAAGTGTCTCATCCCTGCTGGTGCTCTCTTGGCAAAGCATCATTTTGCAAAAGTAAAACAAAATAAACTTAAAACATTAATTTTTGGGGGTGGGTAGGTTTTTTTGTCAGCACTGGGGACTTATGGCACCTAGTTTTTGTTTTAAGGGGATGTTTTGGCATTTTCTTTTTGCTCTCCTCATCTGATTTAATTCTGGAGGTATCGGTAAAGGGATTTGCAATGACCTCATTTGACTTCTCTCTGTTTATTCTTTGGATTTTATTAGCTGGTCAATTTTACATCTTTATTTGCCTTGAAACCATTGTAAACCCTTTTACCCTCACTTTACTTTTCTTTTTCTTTTTTTTTTTTTTTTTTTTTTTTTTTCTCTCTCTCTCTCTCTCTCTCTCTCACCTTCCCTTCCCTCTGCATAGTAAGGAATGGTCTGGAGTTGTGCTCTTTAGCATTCCGCACACGCAATTTTGCCCTGTAAATATCATCTCACTGTTTGCATCACTTCTTGCGTTATTTGCGATGATGTTGTCATATATTATGGCAAAGTATATACATGGGGTGAATTACATCGGCTTGAACATTGAAAATTGATATTTACATGGCTGGTTGATTGCTAAAGGGTTAACTGATCGTGTCCTGTTTGTCATCTGTGACTCCTGTAATGAAAAGTAAAAGAAAAACTCCCTACTCATATATATTTTTTTTTCTTCTCTCCCCTTTATCTACGCCCACCCCCCCCATTTCTCCCTGACCTCATTGTAAACTTAACATATATTTCTCATACATGCGGCCAAACACCACTCTGGCGGGCTGAATCCTGAACCAGCATCGTGAAGACTACTACTAAGGAGTCTGGGCACACTCTCTCCACTTTATCAACTGACTCTTCAATCATTTGTGCTCTCTCTGTTGCAAATAAAAGAAATTTTTATATAAATTGTCGTTACATTTTCAATTCTTTCTTTGCATGGACTAAAAATTAATTGATTTGTATGGTGCCATTGTGGCTCCCCCACCTGATTTGGTAATTTTATCTTTATACATATGTGGTTATTACGAAATAACTCTTTACCCACTTCCTTCAAATTCAGGTGAGTTTAAGAAACCAGCCTATCAATTTGCTTCCGTCTATGTGAAATTGCTTTTTGGACCAATGAAAACCTTGTCTTCAGAGAAATTACCCTTTCAGTTGAAAGAAAAAAAAGTAGCATATGCAAAATCTTATAAAATAAGGAGAAAAATTAAGAGAAGTGTTTGAAGTCTTGTGAACATGTGACACTTCAAAGAACCTACTTTCAACAATCCAAGAAAGCTAAGTATTTTGAACTCTATCAACTCTAATTGAAATTATCTGTGTTTTCTCATTACCATCCTTCATTAATCTTGGCATGGTAAATCAACTGCCACAATGTCTTCAGAGCTTACATAGTGGAGTGGGGGCTAGAATGATATTGCCTACATTTGTCATGAATTTTGAAAATTTATCTGGCAAGGAGGTTAATCATTTAGCGTGAGAGGTGATCAATTAAATTAAAATATTACTATTAGTGTTGAATCGTTTTCATCTGCTAATTGTTGTAGATAGACAAATTTGCTTTTTTTTTTTTTTTTTTTTCTGTACATTTGGTTTCAGTAATAGCAATATATTGCTATCTGCACTTTTGAAAAATGATTGGCTACCTATAGTTGGGGAATACCATTGACTTTTTTTTTGGGAAATAGATGCAAGGGTGGTATGTTATCACCAATAACTTATCTAAGTGAACATTTGCAATTATAATTGAGATAGTATTGTTTATACATGTAGGTTTTAATACTAAATATATTGGATTCTACAGAAACGTATGAATGGAATTTCAGAAATATGCACCTGCAAAAGTGTCTAAAACAAAGGGGAAACCTATAATATTGACTCATGAGCCAGCAATGGAGTGAGCGTTAAACATCTACCGTTTAACTATTTGGAATAGCACAACCCAAATCCTTGAAAATGGCTAATAGATTGACTGAAGGCATATAATTTTGAAAACACTGTAAAATCTTTTGCTCTTGTACAATAATAATAAAAAAAAAGTCAGTTTTTATGGGGTGGGGTTGTTAATCTGCTCCATTCATCTTTATTGAGTACTTCTAAATGTTAGTGATTTTTTTCAACTCTGATGTTAAAGGGGTATGTACTTTGGTCATTTCAAGTTAAAATAATTTTAATCTGCTTTATATATTATATATATATATTATATTATATATATATATATTATATTATATATTTTTATTTTTTCTAAGTTAAGGGCAATTTCCTTTTAATAATATCAATTATTAACATTTGTCCACATTGGTAGGTTATTAGCTGAATGATTAGCAAGATAGGTTATTAAATACTTGATTAATTAGATGTTAAAAGTTAACTGGGCTTGATTCAAAATGGGGCTCATGGAGACTGGTGATTAAGCTTTATTTCCCCAGAGATATTTTCTTAGATTGAAATAATTATGGTAATAAGCAACAACTTTGAGTTTTGCAATGGGCCAAAAGGTAAATGAATGCTAACTAAACTTTGACATCTGATAGGCTTAATATTTTTACAGCTAGCTTTTTATTTGTGCTATTGGAAAGGGACTGGTTAAATCCATGGGTTTTGCCAATACTAAATGAACTAAAGCAGCTTCTGGACTAATAGAATTTGGGGACCACTTCATTACCGACGCACCCCCACCATCCATGTCTTAATACGTATTTTAAGATGGTGCATTTTGGTGTTATGAAACATTTTAGATATCTTTCAAAACTATGATTTTAATTTTTTTTTTTTTTTTTTTTTTTTTTTTTCAATTTTTACCTTGTTTTGCACAGTTTTGTCTAATTTGTACAATATTGAGCAATTTTGTACTTATTACATGTCGATGAAGTCTAAAATTGTGCAAAGTAGAAAATCTACATCAAAAATCTATATGTATATAAAAAATGTATCAATCTAAATGGGGCCCATTCAAATTAAAAAGACCCACTTCAACTAGATGGACCCAAAATTCCAAAGGAACTCTATTAATCTGGAAAGGAACAAATCTTATGTTTTTAGTTTTATCAAGAGTGGGGAGGGGCTTGAGCTGCAGCATGAGTAAATTAAGTACTTGGTGTGGGGTACCTAGGGATTATTGAATTCACTTCAGAAATAGATCTGCAAGATCATTTCTCCATGGCTGTAGCAAATTGGGTTATATTTGAAATACTAGCATAATAATTAAAGTTCAGTCTATTTTAAAAGTAACTCCCAAATCACAATGGTAAAGATGCTTTTGATAGCCCAACCTGATTGGGCTTTTCAATCAAAGATTTTTAAATGTCAGCAGCTCTACAGATTCTAACAATAGTGGATAGTTGTCATTCCTGTGAATGAGCTATTTAAAAAATAAATAAAAAATTACCATCATAGATAATTATGAAGGTAGTTTGGTTAGGTAATGCTAATGCAAAAAGTACATTAAGTTTTTCTTATAAATCTGGTGACAGATTAAAAAAAAATCAATATTATTATTGAATTTGTTACAAAGTAACTTTTAAATAAATATTCACACGCATCATTGAATTTTCTATTTTAGTTACAAAACATATTTTTTAAAAACTACTTGAATATATTAAAAAAAAAAATCATTAACTTGGAAAATTCCGGATTAGAACATAATTATCGTTAAGACGTAGAACCACTCAAACGTAAGTCACTCAAAAAAGGTTCTCGTGAAATTTTCTGCAAGTGCAGTCACTAATTAAACTTAAATGGTGCATGTTTAGAAAAAAACCTTTGTTCTGTTTTTTGTTTTTAAAATTATGTCCCTTATTTTACACGATATATATATTTATTGACTTATCAAAGCAATGAAAAATAACTTACAAAGTAACAAAAGAATAAAATTAATTTTTTTAAAAAATGCAAATTTTTCGAATAATCAAGAACCAATAATAATATCAACACTTTTTTTCTCTTAAAATATTCAACAATTCATTTTTAAAAAATCATCTTAAAAATGAACGTTTAAAATAAATGATCATTTAAAATATTTATGTCCCATGATGACTGAGTATAGAAATTCAGTTTAAGGAAGTTTAGCAGTAGGCCACTAAAAAGTCATTTCTAAAAGAGGCAAGAGAGAATTCATGTGGCGGTTTCATTCTCAGCGCCATTATCATGCCGCTTTTGATTCTATGTGGTCTGCCTTGTTCTGGAAAAACAACTATAGCTAACAAAATCGCTACATTTTTCCGCGAACAGAATAGCAAGAAAGTGGATATCATTAAGGATCATGCAACTGGAGAAGACAAAAACACCGTATTTGCGGGTAAGTCAGTAATGGCTTGTTAGCTATAGGAGTATTGGGCGTCTTTTCCGTCCACCATATTGTTTCGTACAACACTTAACCGTGAATATTTGTAAATATTATTTCACGAAAACACATTTGCTCCACTTAATGAAGTTAATTCTCGGTTGTGATTGTTAGAGTATCGATTTTTAAAAAGAAACGATTGTATATCTTCAAACATAAGCAATAATAGAATATAGTTTTCTTTTAAATCAAAGAAAAACAAATTAAACTACGGATGCTCAACCTTGATAAATTTCTGGTTTACAAACCATATTCATAGTTAAATCATTTCTTGTATTTTTAACATTACGCTTGAAATTTGCAAGTCGTTCTTTTTTCGAGATTTATAAAAATTTAATTATCAGAATGTGATTGTTAAAATCATGTATTTGCAGTTTTAAATGGACAAGTGGAATTGCAATATGGTTTCTATTATCTGCTCAATTTTTTCAGTTGCCAGTAGTCACACGTTTAAAATACCAATGGATTTCAGTCGTAATATGCTTCCATACTGAGGAAAATAAGTCGGTCACATTTTCGGAATGGTTAGGTGGCTCATTTGAAAAATAGCTCTTGTCTTGTTTTGAATTTAACAACTTTTCTATTGATTTATTTACTGAACTATTTTGGACCATTGTTGGTTACTTTTTAGGAACATTAATGAATGATCACAAAGAGATATACGTACAATTTACCAAATTTATTTGCAGTTTTAATTTTTTTTTAATTATGACCGGAAAAAGTCATGAAAGAAAAAACAATGTTTTGTTATAAAATGTCATCCAGAAAATAAGTAATATTTTCATTTAAAATAGGTAATATTTTTAATAAAATATTACATAATTACTTTAATATGTCTTAATAAAAATATAAGTAATATTTTTATAAACTAGTATAACGTATTAACTATGCAGTGATTCAATATTCTAAGATATATAGTGGAATTCAATGTTCTAAGTCTGTTTACACCATTAAGTTTAAGAAAAAAATTATATCCAACCCAACACTGGAAATGCACCAATATCCCAATAATTGCATAAAAATCTATGCAGTTATATAACTGAATTCTGAACTATATCCACAGGAAGAAGGTATGGTGATGGGGTCACCATTGTCTCCAGTAATGGCAGATCTATACAGGAAGAAGTTTGATGAAATCAGCTCTGAGAGCTATACCACTTAGAATGCTTCTTTAGTTTAAGATACATAGATTACACTTTCATACTCTGGCTTCACTAGTAAATGTGAAATTACTGTTAGACTGTTAAACCTACAAGGTCCACATAATAGTTCAATATGAGGAAGAAAAATAGTGGATTAGTTTTCCTAGATGTACTAGTAATTCATAGAGAACACTGGTTCAGGATATCTATATATCATAACCAACATTCTGTCTGGTGCCTCACAGTACATAAGACATCCACAAAATGCTTCTACTCTGCCTTGTCTGCAACTGTTGTTCATGTCACCCCAATAGGATTGCCAGCCCATTGATTTCATCTCCATTACAGTCCTTCACTGTCTTCTCTTTTTTTTCCTTTGGGGTTCCAGGTCAGTGCCATGTAACAGTCATTGTTTGGGTCTTGCCTTAAAGTGTGAGTGATGAATCTTCTTCTTTGCCATACCTTGACACTAATACCTGCAACAACCACTAGCAGATGTACAAACTCAGAAAACACATACATACAGGAAATTTGTGGTTGGTACAACGTTGTTTTCATTCTATGCAGACACTTTACCAAAATAGACCCCCCACACACACACACACTAGAAGAAAACCTGACCAAAAACTGTCTTTAATATCCCATTCAGTTGTGGCAAAGTGAAATGGAGTACCCTCTAGAAACAGCAGAAGAACGCCAGAAATCATAGACACTTTTTAAAATTTGTTCTGGTTATGCGAGGGACACAACAATCTATGAAATGAGATCAAAGCAATGGCAAATAAGAAGGCTGAAGCAATGTGCCTACTATACTGTTCAGATGACTCAATAAGCAAACAAAATATTGAGGGCATTATTAATGTGTGGATAATATTAATCAAAAAACAGCAGGCAATAAACTTGCAACACTAAACTCCAATCAGCAGATCAACATGGAGTTTAGGGAAAAGATGGCTTCAGATAAACAGGGATGCAAAAACTAAAGAGCATGTGTTTTGGGAGAAATGCACACACATCTTGATGTAGGTTTCATTCACATTCTAGGATGCAATATAAGTTTGGAGTGTATGCAGCCAAAACATTGTGAACAAAACAAAGATGAGGAAATTAGTCTAGAAAAAAAAACGCACACCTGAAAATTAAAATACCCAGTCAAACAAAATTTAAACAAGTAAAATAAAATCTTATAACCAGAAATCTCAGCTTATAAAAAAAGAAGAAACTTTTCTTTGAAGTATTATAAGTAAATAATTAAAATCAAGAAAAAACTGTTATTCTTGAAATTGATATTTTTAAATATATTTGATGTATATGAAACCTATTTCAATCATCGAGTAGTTGGTCTTCTGACATGAGAGAAAGAAAGTGTGTGTGATACAGGTATACCTTAGTATTGAATGCTTGATGTGCGAAATCAGTTTTGGTTATCTCCCTTTATCTATTTTTCTTCTTCCTTCACAAATGACAGTACTCTTTAACTGTTCTATGTATCTATTTGCCAGGAGCATAAAAATTGACTGGATAAGAATAAAGATTCTTTTATTTATTTTAAAGGTAGTTAGAATAAAAATATTTTTTCCTTTTTCACATTCCTGTCTTGTGGTTACTTTTGAACTACTTATTGTAGATATGGTTAACTAACTTTCCATCAATAAAATTCATTGCAACATTTACCATAAGGAAATAAATTTCTACTTATTTGTCATGGTTCAATGAGTGACTTTTATTGCTTATATAGAAGGTGTGATAGCTACAATTTGTTTTGTCGGCCCTAAGGTAGCAATGCCTCTAACTACAAAAACATGAATAAACACAAACATGGATTTATAGAACAAACAATAACTATTTATTAGGGGGAACACCATGGAAAAGAAAAAGGATGAATTTCTCTCAGAGCAATTAGTTCTGATGTGGGAATGGCAAGCATTGGTCACAAACATGCATGTAAGCTTTTGTGTGTATATTTGGTTTTAGTATGTGATGCTCATAGTCACAAATAGATCCAATGATCTATTAGCAGAGCATTAGTTCTTATGTCAGATTCCTTGTACAGGAGTAGTGAGTGGAATTTTATGGTGCTGTTGTGTTGTTCCTGGTCCATCAATGTGGTTGCTTCTCCTTTGTTGCTATACCACTTGTTTAAATACTAATTCTCCTCAGCTTTTATAAGTTGAGATAAGCTCGACCTGACTAAAATTTTAGATTCTCTATCTTCTGTTTGATTAGTCAAACATTGAATCCTTATTTTTGATTTTCTGGTTTGGTTATTTTACTAAAACTATGTCTGTGCGTTGTTTACTTTATGGTGTTCTAAATAAGTTAACTAAGGCTTTAATCCTGGCTACATCCATCGCTGCATAAAGAAAATATCTTTTAAATTTTTGAAGGTGTGACAAGGCTCCCTCTAGATTTGTAGAAATTATTTTGTGACAATTTATCAATATTTAATAAGTTTTGCCATTTAACATGGTGTCCTGATTTAGTAGTTCTGTTTTGATTATTTTCATTTGTAGTTGTCTATTGAACAAGATTCTGTTGTTGATCAACATACACTGGTTTTAATCAGTCTGTAGCAACCATGTCATGTTTATTATTTTTTGGAACTGTAAAGTATTTTTCAACTTGTTTGTGTACATTGTAAGATCTGGAATAATTTGGGCAAAATGGCTTTTTGATGTTATCATTTTTTACAAAGGGGTACTCACACATATGAAGATCTTTTGGAATGTATGTCTGCCTGGCTGAAATTCTTGTAGGTGTGAAAGATATCCGAGACATTTTATCTTTAAGATTTCATACAAAAGTTGTGGATGATTGTATATTTTGACAGTCCTGAAAATGTTGACTGGTAGGGTCAGAGAAATATCAAAAACCATTTTGGAAGATTTAGATCTGATATCTTCTTTAACAACATTTCATATTGAAAGTAGTACAAGGGTTAAATTATCTACCTAGTTGTACAGGTTATTTTTTGTTGCTGTTCAATCGCCTGTGAAATCATTCAACAATTTAATTTACAAATGGGTGATATGCCATGGTTTTGATATGCTTCGTTCCAAGTAAGTATGTTAATACTCAAAAGAGTGTTGACTGGAATTGCTCCCTCCAGTCTGTGGTTATTATGGATGGGACACTGAATGTCTGAATTCAGTCTTGCAACTTTATTCTCATGATGGTTTCTACAGAAATATCCTTGTGAATCTACTGATGATAGTGAAGATATATGTATAGCCACTGGCATCTGGAAATGGACCGAGGATATTAATGTGCAGATTACTAAATCATGTGTTTGGTTTATCAAATTTTCCAGGTGTTGACTTGGTGTGTCTATGAATCTTGTGTGGCCAATTCTTTATATCTACTGCCATATTAGGCCATATGACATGTTTGCAGATGAGATTGGTTGTGGCCTGTCTCTCATGAAGATGATGGGAGATCATTTTTCTTAATGATGGTGGTGCATAAGGACATGGTTTGCTCTTGGTAGTATCACATTAATGTTACATCCCCGAAAGGGACTGGAAATTTGATTAGTTTTAAGGACGTATTTTCTCATACTTGCAGAAATTTGTTACTTTTTTTTTGTTTCTCAGCTATTACTTTGTGTGACAGCGTATCTGAGGTCGATGTTGAAATTGTCTTTTGTGACAGTTTATTGGTTATAGTATTACCTTTGTTTGATATGAAACGCATATCAGAAGTATGCTGGGAAATAAAGTCCAAGTGTCAAATTTTGTGTGGTGTATATTTGTCAAATGTTGTTTGTAAGGCATATATCAGGGGTTTGTGATATGTGTACATCATGAATTTGCA